CATGCTCTAGGACATCAGATTGCTATACACTAGGGTCTCCCTGAATGTGGCCATGTCCTGGGGCATCTAGGCTGTCTGTTGACATCAAAGGCCTGCTGTTCCAAGTTGTGGACTTCACAGTGTTAAAGAAAGTGGGAAGCTCTTGGTGCACACTTGCAGTTAGGGCTGGGACCTATCTACAAATGAAATACACAGTAACTTATCAGGCAAACAACTGAAGGCATTTATTGAAACAGGTGCCAGACTGCTTATTTAAACCCCCGCACCTCTGGCAATTACAGAATTAAGAAAGTTAAATTTACCCAGTCACTCAATTGACTCTATAAGCCCACAGGCTTATTTTGAGGCAACATTAAGAGCTGTTAATACGGCCTCATGAAATGCTGTTTCAGAGCCACTGCTCTTTGAGCAGTGTGTCAAATGTGGTGCCACTAGAGAAACTGACTTAATTCCAGCTGGGTGAGATAGAGAACCCCCATTCCTCTGTTTACTGCCTTGGACTGTGTTGTGGAGCCAAAGTGCTAGATTTGGTGCCAAAAATAAGTAGAGGAGTATTATTTATGTCAAGTGGGGCTGTGGTCAGCTGTACACACTCACACTGAACTGACATGCATTTAAACCTCTGACCTTTTCTCCCATATGCCTCTCAATGTAAATTCAAAGTGATACTAGCTTGCTGAAGCGCCTTCAGCAGTGTGTTAGGTTAAATGTACTCAACTGCTTTGTTATATTAACACTGATTTACACAATGCTGCATCTGTGACTGGCAGCGGATATAAAACTTACAGATGTGGCACTGGTTGCCGAATATAAATTTCAAGATGCCCTCTCCAAACCCTAAAAGACATCAGTCGTGGACTTTGGCACAATTTTACAATTTTAGAGGCCTTCACAGACCGAAACAGAAAAAAAATACCCAGTTTCAAACCTGTAAAAAAAAAAAATGACACTTAACCTGTGGTGTGTTTTCATCACGTTCACGCTGGAAGAAGGAAGGTCTACAACATAAAGTAACACAAGGGTTTACATAACAGCACATTGGCACCCTAATGGGAAACGTGCTAAACAACTGCAAGGTATTCTTGAAAAGACTGTAAAAAATACAGCCTGAACGTCCTGAACTGGACCAGCTGAAATACTCGGTTACTAGACGGACCTCTCCTTAACACGACATCTACATTTAGGCAGCTGTTCTCTCTCTCTCACTCGGGGGCATAAAACAAGAAGCACTGTTCTAGTTTGGACCATTGGTACAGGACAAACAAGCCATAATCTTTACAGCCCAGAAAGAAACACCAATCTGCATGAATAAGCAGGTCAATCAGCACCCAAGGCATTTTAGGAAAAGCACTTGCAAAGTCCTAACATTTTAATGTCCCTAAACGTCAGTCACTGTGCACTCCAGAGACAATGGATAACATATCTCCATACTAGATAACAATCGCCCAGTCTCATCAGACTGCACCCCCTGGAAATCAGCACAGTGGCACTTCCAGGATATGGTAGAATAATTAATCGATCCCCAGGTGTAAATATGCCCCTGCACTCTGGTTGGAGTCCTGTACAACAACAGGAACAAAAAGCACACTTTGCTTTTAAGAGAAGATCCACTTTCTTGTGGTCTTGCCTGAGGGAATCTGGCTGTTAACCACTTAACCACTATACTTCAGTTCAGGCTAGCAGATTATGGCTAGAGCCTTTTCCCCTCTCAGGCCCCTGCATAAGTAAATCCACGGTCAATGTTCTGGTGTTGCTTTTCCTGGGAGCTGTCGAGACGGGTCAGAAAACTGGAACACCCACGCCCACAGAATAAACAGAATGATCCGTCAATTTTTTTGTAGTGTTCAACAGCACCCCAAGTTGCCAAGGAACAAAACTCTCTAACCAAACTGAACAACAATCGGTAATCCCCCAGGCTATCTCAGCACAGTCCGGCCCATTCAAATTGATTAATCCAAGGAGTGAAATCGGCGGCTACATTGCAACATTGCACTGATATAACTTTTAATTACAAATGCTTGTATTTTCCTTGCCTCAGATTTCCCATAAGTGCTTTACTTAGTGTTGATATATGCCTATTATGTTGGACGTCGGTCATGGAATGTGTGTGGCCACAGCTACACAGACCCACTGTTCCAAAAACCACACTAACCTTGGTAAAATGTTCTTGTGTTTGCAACTCCAGGAAGGCTACACTTCCGTTTGTGAGGAATACTGGCTGCTCCATTAAATAACCAAAGACTTAATGGAACAGCCCTGCAGGAAGATAGAGTGTGTGGGAGATTCAGGCATCTTGCTCATGTCTACAGGACAGATGATCACTGCTGATGGAAGGGCTCAAACTAAACACTGCACACTAAAACATAAAACACTCCCTCTGTGTCCTAAACTATAAAAAAGAACAGTCTTTGGATGCATTCTTTTGGATATAGTTTAACGCTTTTTAAGCAGAACAGCTGGACCTCTTATCCTAAAAGAGCCTCCAGGTTCAATCTCTTCTAGGGCACGAGGTGAAATGTTGGAGCGGTCAGCTTGTGTTGGTAGTTTCCTTTCTGTGACTTCTGTCCACTACGTCCAGTATGTACCACGCCAGGCGCTGTTCAGCTCAGGACTGCACAGCTCCAGTCCACAAAGGCTGCAGATCGCCTGCTTCAATTCCACCCAGTGCTTTAAAGTACTGAATTGATTACATAAGTGTGTCTGCTGCTCTTGCCAAGTCTTAAGCAATTTTTATTGAGACCCATATACCCCGTGTGAAGGGAAGATAAAGACAAAATTAAATAAAATAAATAATTCCTCACATGGCACTTTTACACATCTTAAACCTCCCACAGTCTTGGATTGAATCTGAACCCGACCGCTATTGGGAAGCACCTTTCTTCCACTGTCACAGCCATCCATTCTGAAAAAATTACATCAGATTTAACAGAAAAAAAGTGCACAGAATTTATTTTCTTTTATTTCGCTATGGGGCTGGTGACAGTCTCCTAAGCACGTAGGATGTCAGACCAGGCCACAAGAAATCCTGATGCATCAGTCCGCTCACTAGTCTTCTGACACCCCTGTGCTTCAGACAGAGGGTGCTGATAACTGCCAGTGTAAAACCAATTTCCAGTTCAAAGGCAAAAGGCAGCACTCCCCCAGTTTCTTCCCCCAGGAGCAGCGCAGCTCTGCCACAATACTACAGTCTCTATTGCACTAAAGGTCTGCTCCTCATCAACACAAACCTACTGTATTTTTTACATTCCTTTTACACCTCGATACACCATTTGGAGCAGCTTTCCGTTTCACTTATCCGTTTCAGTTCTGTACCCCTTTATTATATAGGTTTGTATCTCTTTTTTTGTGAAAGTTCTGTATCTCCTGCAGTTGTTTTCGGTCCACATCCAGTGCCAGAGAAACAGGTGCAGCAGTAGTCTTTCTTTATATTACTTTTTTAGTTCATTAATGCAGTTTCTAAACCAGAAAGTAAGGGAAGAATCTTCCAAAACAAGAAAACAATAGATTAAGTTAAACTCCTTCCAAGAAAGAAACACATCAGTTGCAGAAAGGGCACTTTTGTAGTTGTCTCGTTTTTCCCCCCCGATTTTTAGCCTCTTTGCTTCTTTAACTTAGGTATTTTATAACCAGAATCCTACTGGGGCTGGTTAGATTGCTGAAGATGGCAGCTCAGTAGCTATATCTGTGTCTCACACTCAGGGCCACTGCGGAGTCCAAGCGCTTAGCCTGCTGCCCTCTCTGCCTCCCATGAAAGGCCCAGAAACCCAAAGCGCTGAAATGCATTTTTTTTTTGTTCTATCCCCTTGTTCAGCAAAACCAAGGTGGAAAGAGCTGGAGAAGGCAGCTTTTTTCCTCTTTCGACCCTCCCACCCACCCCTGCCCTCTCCCCTCTCTCTCTCTGGAGCGGAGCTGATGCTTGTGCCTCAGTGGAGAGGAGAAGGAGGGAACAAGGGGTTAGCGCGAGTCTGCAGGCAGCTCTCAGCTGGCGGTGGTGCGAGACATGAGGTCCTCCAGCGCCTTGTCTTGGTCGTTATTGTGGACCCGCAGCACCTCCTTGATCGCGTCGAGCTCGAAACCCATCTCCCGAAACCTCGACATCAACTGCAGGAACTCCAGGGCCTGCAGGCACACAGAGGCACTCTGTCAGAGGGAGAAGGATGGAGCAGGGAACAGGCAGGGGAGCTACTGGGGACCCACAAGAGGAAGTGAGAATGAGAGAAGGCAAGGACAGGCGAAAGAAGGGAGGCAGAGACAAAGGGCGAAACAGGGAATAGAGAAAGACAAAGGCGGGATAGGGCAAGAGTTTACTGCTCGATGAAGACTGCCCAGTCCTCACACACCCTCAACTTCTGGCTGCAAACTGCTGCATGCCCTTACTGACAGACAACCCAGTGTACACACTCCTCAATTATCTCCCTCTGATAGCTGCAGTCTGATGGTACTCTCCCACATTTTCAGAATACTGCATGCCTTTAACATTCATTTGATTAATTTGCCATTTGTGACTGACCCCTATCTGTCACCATACTCAAGTGGCTTTGGTGGATAAGCACTAAATAATTATCTGTGAGAGCCAATTGGACACAGGTGAGGAGGCTATTTCACCCACTGAATGTAAAACCTAGTGAAAACCAAGAAGAAAAAAAACTTGAAAGCAATTTGCTGCGCTTATCTTGAGAACACCACCTCCTTCCAGTCAGCAAGTTGGAGCGAGTTCTTCTTTAGTCAATGTAAATCTTTTGTAGAGCACCTTGATGGAAGTCATCAATTGTGCAGATATGTAGAATGATAATCTAATCATTGTGTCCAACTGAACTCCATGGTGTTCAGAAACGAGCTAACAGGCACATGCTTACCTAGGTGCTACGAGAGGAATGGGACAGGATCATGCACATGTACTGCTTTGTAACATCTTGTACTGCTTCTAAAAGTGGCCATACAGGTGACAAGCTGATAACCTTCCCAGACAATCCCCTCTTAATCTATGGAACAAGTAAAGGTTTTTTCCCCGCTGAAAAGGGAAGAAAGAAAACACACCGTTTTGGCTGTGGAGCCTTCTTCAGGTGTAAGAAAGATAGGGCAGAAGAAGGCTCTACAGTAGAAATGGTGTGTTTTCTTTCTTCCCTTTTTAGCAGGGAATAAACCTTTACTGCCTACGCATGCCGACGCGGCTCCCCACCTGAACTACTTCACCCTGTTAATCTATGTCAATCAAGGAATTTACCCATTTCATGTCAGTTCAAAAATATTCCAATTAACTTGAAGTTAATAATAAAAATAATGAAATTTGCCTTTGATGTTAAGTATAGAGCACTGAATTAATGCTCAGCAACATGTACACGGACACTGTCCATAGAGCAGGCATGCATGAGGAAGTGATCGTGAAATTTGTGTAATTTCCCATTCCCAGAAAACACACTGAAAGATGCCTTTCGTTTTCATCTTTCTCTTTTGCCTGAAAAGCAAAATATATTTCACTCCTCCCATGAAGCTGTGAGGTTTAAGTGGGAATCTGTACCCCGTTTGTTTTAAAATAAATGTCCACTATTAATTGGAATGACACCTACCCATATATTGAACCAAAGCAACCACAGTATTCATGGGGCAATATATGAGACTATGACAAACCACAGACACCAGTATATTGTCTGGTTTTTTATACTGTGTCCTATTAAGTCACTTACTCTAAGTAAGATGGTATCGCAGGTCAAAATGTGGTACCGTGCTCTGCCTCAGTGTACTGTGGTATCAGGCCTTTACTCAGTCACAGCGAGTGTGCAGTACTGACCTTCTCCTCGGAGCACTGGTACATCTCCAGACACTCCTCCACAGAGCTGGCATCAAAGCCCCGGTCACACAGACGCTCATGCACATACAGGTAATCCAGAACCTGCAGGTCAGAGGTGGGAAAGAAGAGGGAGAGGGGGAAGGGAGACTGAAAATTAATTTGACTATATAAATAAACGCAGGACATAACTAAAGCTATTTTGGGAGATGTCACGTTTGTGGTGTACTGTTCAACATGGGACTGCATTATGCGAGTCATTTCAGGAATCACCCTTGGAGACTCATGAGACTCAGGAATCATACTTGGAGACGAAGCTGCCATACTCAATTCACGTACCATTCAATTCGAACCCAGGTCTTCAGAACCGCTAAAAGTACAATCCTTCACTGACGACCAATTTTTAACAATTCGGTCAAAGATGCATCATCAGCCCCCAGAAAACAGCAGTAGCTTCTGGCAAAGTGCTTGTAAAACGTATTGAGCCCCACGTTTTATTATAGAGCTTTCCAGTTCAGTGTCTTTCTGAGGCCCTCTTTAGGTCATTGTACCACACAAAATTGGGTCAAAGGAAGCTTTGATATGTCTCCTTCTCTCTTTTCTTGTATTATTTCTGTATATGACTCTGACTGTAGAGTGACTGAGGTACATACAATTCTCTGCAATATAAGTCTTTCATGAACCTGGTCTAGACATCTACTGAGGTGTGAAATGCAGTACTAACCTCAGTATTTGTGAGGGTTAGGCACCCTGAACTCTCTGCGAATGTGGATGTTATATCTTATGAGGAAAATGGGTACGGCTTGCAAAAAACAAGCATTTCTAAGGGTTGTAAATAATTCTGACAAAAACATTACTATTTCAAAAATATTGTTAGTAAAGAAAATCAGTACTGGAAACTTTGGAAAAAAAAACAGTTTTGGTTTTCCCCATATAATAAGTTATTTTATGTGCAAACAAATGATAGAGTTTGTTTTTTCATTCTTAGTAGATTGCATTTTCCTTACTGTTTACATCTTGTTTTTATGACTATAATAAAAAATGCGGTACTTACTGCATTGAACAGTTTATTACAACACAGAAATAACAGATAAGTAAACAAAGTGTGCTCACGCCCTTTCCTCTCAACCGACTTACCCTCCTGGTCTGCAGTTTGTGTCATTCTCTGACCTCTGATTTCTTTAGTATCCTTTCCTCCGAGTCACACAAGAACTGAGACTGTGGTATCTTAGGGGACCACTAATATCGGAGAGAGTTTTAACGTTTCTTTTATTTTGAAGCATAAAAGCCTTTATTCTCATAACATGTCTACGCACATCTCACATTTAAAGCTTTCTTGACAAAAGCTTAAAGCATAACCCATGATGCGCTGCTACATAAACATGTTAAACCAAGCTGTGCCTTTACTACCGATACAGATCAAGTGGATAGGTCCTAGTGATGAAAATGCTGCAGAAGTGGGGGCTGGCCTTTACTCTCCTACTGCGCAGGCTGCGAACAGGAGAATTTAATCTGAAAAAGTGGTTACTAATAATTTTGCTAGGGCACGCAAAACCACAAATGTAGAACTCACAAATACTGAGGCTTTCCTGTAATGTGCCCAAACCTTTCAGAATCGTTTAAGTTCAGGTACAGGATTGAGGCAAAGTCCAGGACCTACTGGATGTCTGGAGTTAAGATAGCACACATTAACAAACCACGGACTGTTACAGATGACAGACCCTACCTGCTCCAAGTTCTGACCCTGCTTCTGCATGGCTTTGATGACCTCCTCAAAGGGGTATCCCATGTTGACGATGATCTGTACACACTCGCGTTCACTGGGTGACAGAGCCTGCAGCAGCCCACAGTACCTTCCTTGCATGTCAGAGGGAGCCATGTTGCCTTGGGAAGCTTTGCGGGCATTAGTCTAAGGGATTGAAAGAATTTAGGATTAAGGATTGACTGATGAACTATCCAAACTAATCAATGAGTGGAAAAGAAAAGCTCGTAGAGCTGCTCTCGGCGCCTGTCCTCACCTGTTTTGTCACTCCATTCTGTGTGTGGCTATGCAGTTCCCCAAGAACTGGGGGACAAGAAGGGTTACCGAGGGGATCCTCGTGCCCATCAGGACGAGTCTTGACAGTGTCCCGTAGCAAGGAAGAAGTACCATTGGAGTGATCCCGGGCTGTAGGGCCCACAGAGCCACTGCAGCTCTGCTGGTCCTCGGACACAGGGGTTGGGCGCCTTTCCTCAGACTCTGACAGCTTAGGGAAAGACAGGGAGCGAATGTTGCAGGGGAAGGTGGGCAGGGGCCCCCTGGGGCCCAGGGCGGGGGGGGAAGAGGACAGGGGCCCTCCAGGCCCGTCGAGCTGCAGCAGGGTCACCAGTCCGTTGGGTTTGTGCTGCTGGTCCGGCTTGGAAAGCTGCGTTTTGGGCTCCGGCGGGGTGACGGCCTGCAGCTGCAAAATGCTCCGCAGCTCCTCCTTGTCGTTGAGGGTCTTGAGCTCCAGCTTGTCGAAGGGGTCCTCCTCGCACTCAAAGTCGGCCAGGTTGAAGTAGTGAGGCAGCGGAGGACTGGGCTCTCGCTGTCTGGCCATACTGGGAGCGGGGAGGGGCATCAAGATGGCATTGTGGCGCAGTCCTGCCAGCACCGGGTTAATGGCGGGAGGTGGGACGGCAGGCGGCGTGGTGGCCGCGTGGTCACCCGGCGGGGAGAGCTCGCCGTTGGGCCGCCCCTCCTGCCCGGCCCCCTCGCGCTCAGCCTGGGCGGCCTCGGCCTTCAGCTGCGCCCGCATCTCCGCCAGCTCCTCCGCCCACTGCACGGTCCGCCGCTCCAGGGAAAAATCATACTACCGGGAGAGCCGGGGCAGGGGGGAGGCCCCGAAAACGGGAAAGGAGGGAGAAAGGCAAGCAGTGAGGTGTAAACCAGAAAGAAACAGTCTCGCACACGTTTTCGCAAGACTGCAGTTTCAATCTGCGTGTATGATGCTGCAAAAGGGGGGGTCATTAATCGCACTTCTAGCCGCTGACTAGTGACAGAATTCATGGGATTCCCATCACAAAACAGGAGGATCAAACTACAATCCTCAGTCATATTCTTCACTCGATATCGGGAAAAACTCTCCTCCCATGCCTTTGCTCAGTTAATGTACATTTTACAGTTTCATTCCAATCCTTGGGTGCATCTTTACATCCTTCAGGCAGGTGCTCACTTCGTATTTTACAGGGCATCTTACTAAAGGTGTGCAATCTCCAATTACTAAGTTAAGAAACGTAACATCTTCTAAGACAACACTCAATGCAGCACAGGCAGTGTTCCCTTCTGCTGAAGGACCAATAGGTGGTACTCTTTCCCTTTTGATTCAAACATGAAACCAATGTTTAGCTGCAGAAACAGTTTCTGCCTCTATAATCTTTTGAAATAGCCCTCAGGTTATTTGGACTCACATAGGGTATATGAAATATTACATTTAATGCTGTAGCATTGCTACATGTATATTTTCTTATAGCAGTTCAGAAAATACCACAAACATCACCCTGGCTTTTCCACAAATAAGTGAGAAAAGGACAGTCATATATATCATATACGAACAACCATTCCTTTTTGTTTACAGTAACATCTTGTTTATATCAGATGTAGTAATCCCAACCTGTGTTGTCATTTAACAAGCAGATTTTCACTCCTGGAATCTCGTAAGGCATTGCCGAGATGCTTCTTTTCAAGGATCGTCCGGTATGAGGAATTTACTTTTTATTTTTTATGGCATTCTAACTTTTTTATAGCAAGGTCTCGTGTGTGTTATATGCCTGTGGTATGGGATAATACCTAATGTTTATGTGTATGCTAATGACTGCATCAATGTAACTACTGTACCTGAGCTGGAGTGTTAATAGTTTTCTGAACTACTGTTTTATGCACCAGCTAATGACTTCAAACAAGTTACTGAATAATTAACCAGGAATGTTACTGTTTCCATACACGAACACAGTTCTGTGCTGTTTTATGGTGACGTTTGGACCTTTGAGGGAACATAAGATAAGATCACTTTATTGGCCACACACCATTTCTTGTATTAGGAATTCATCTTTTCCACTAAATCCCAGCTTGCTCTCCATGAGACACACAGACAGGGAGAGAAGCTTGGGGTCATAGAGCAGGGTCAGCCATTTATATGGCACCCCTGGAGCAGCTGGGGTTAAGGGCCTTGCTCAGGGGCCCAACATAGTAGGATTGCTCTGCCGGCCGCAGGATACGAACCGGCAACCTTCCAGTCACAGGCGCAAATCCTTTGCCACAGAGCCACTGCACCGCTTAGCATTTTTGATTTCCGGACCCAATGGGGGGTTATAACATGGGCAACCATGTAAATTTAACTACCATTGTAAAAGTTTTCACTTTACAAGCAGTTTCCAAAGAAGAAAATAAGCTGAAATAAACTACAAAGAATTACTGTGCTAAAATTCAGAAATTTATTTTTCATAGGGGTGAAGGAGTTCCTCTTGGGGATCTTTTGGACAGGAATTGTGAATTTCCAGAGGTCCCCGGATCCCCATTTGTGCAGACATGGATTCAAAGGGGACCTACAGGTGCGTGCTGTACCAGAATGCAGTAGAAATAGCCATTTCATGTTTCATGTTTTTGTTGGTTGAGGTTTTCATCTCACAAATGGAATATCAAGAGATTCCATATACCTTGCATGGCCAGAACTGTAGACTATAATCTCACAACTGAAATCAGCCTAGACAATATTAAGTGCTGAGCAGTTCTGCGATCTTCTGAAAACATTTAAGTTCAGCATTAACAATCCAAAGGCTATTTTTCGGAAGAATCACATACTGATGCTTAAATCTATCAATTTCTGGTTCACACTGTTCCTTGCATTGAATTTAGGAATTCTGTTTGGAAGCAGATTTCTCTCACACAGCTTTTCCTGGAGGTACTTCCAGAGGCTGAAATGTCCTAAGCAAAAAATAGCTCAAACCTTTTCCAAAAACAAGAATTGAGCTTAAATTCACCATATACAATTCATTTTAGCCAAAAGGCAGAGAAGCCAATAACAACTGAACTTACCTCTAACTCCGTGAGGCTTTGTGAGTATTTGGACACAGAGAAGCCGATGGGCAGGCCCACTTTTGCTGGACACCTGAACTTATCGCTGATCTTGAAAGGAACATCATCCAGATAACTGAGGGGTCCTGGAAGGCACAATCACCAGCAGGTCAGTGTCAAGACAGAAATAACTGCACTGGAGATTCGGGGACACTTTTGTTTAAATTGAAAAATGTTAAGTACTTTCAATAGGAAGTAGGGCCATGGGAATTTCCCCAAATGCAAACAATTGAACATTGAACAATTCCGTTCAATGTCCAAGGCTTTTATCCATCACTGTACATTTACTTTAATGACGATTAAGGGAAGACAGCAGGCCTTTGTAGATTTGTTCGACCAGGGAACTGTGTAGACATGCAACCTGTTATCAAAGTGCAAGACGGATGAGGCCAATCCTAAAAACATTCAGTTACAAGAATACCCAGCCTTTCTGAATCTTCAGTATGCGCGAACACAGGATGTCTAGGAATATCTACAGTTTTCTGTCTGCACACAGTAACTGCAGTTGATGCTTTAGGTGTGGACTAGCAGCTGGGTTAAGCTTGAGAAGCGAGGGTGACGCAGGGCTCAGATTTCCCGCACCCCAGTAACCGTGGGTACCCCCTCGCATGCCCCCCCGCAGCGCGTCATGCTGCGATGTGGCTGGGAGCGTGGAACTGACAGATGAAGGTCGGCGGGAGCTGTCTGTGCCCTCTGGGCTGTCGCTGGCTGGGTGAGCACTGGGATGAGATGAGGCTCGGCCGGCTAGACTACCATCGGCAAAAGCAGCCCCTGTGAGCTCAAAGCATCCGCGGCCAAACCTG